GGTACGACTGAATCCCCACCTGACCACTATTTCCTACCCCATCAGTAATATTGAGTCGGTAAGCAGGTATTCTATATTTATATATTCCCAGAGATGTAAATTTCTGTCTCCCGTTCCTCGTTCATTTTTACACCCCCTTTGTTTCCTTTTCTATCATCACCCTTTTCTTCTTTATTAGCTAGTTTATTCGAACCAAGAGTCATTTATATCCGTCAGCAGAGAGGTTCGCAGATAATACTAATCAGAGTGAGTGAGTAATCCACATTCTAGTTAGTTCGCATGCAGCAATTCGCGGTTTCTTCATTGCACAAAAAAGGAAATACATTCATTTTCTCTTCTAGAGATCATGATAACACTCAAAGATTTTAAGTTTATTAAAGTATATTATTTTTTTTTCGTCGTTTTTCGATTTTGCTATGGAGTTGTCAGTTTCTCTTTGACTTTTAAGTTTTTAATGTCCCCTTGGTATCTTCCGCTTCTATTTTCAAACATCAGGAAGTTTTATTTAAATATTTACATAAAATAACAAAGAAAATGTATTCACGCTTTGTACAATTTTGACAAGCTTAAATAACAGCTTTATTGTATAAGTTGTTTAATGCAGGAGTCGGTATGATAATAGATGTGTTAGGAAAGTCAATACAATTTTGACGCTGATGTTAAATACCAATACCACTACAGGCTATAGTGGGGACCATCTCAAAAAGTACAGCTAATCATTCATTAAAGTTACCTGCATGAGTTTGTTTGATAATACTGAGATGATTTTTAAACAATAAAATAATAACACTTTATTTTGCAATACACGGAAGAGGATCAAGCAAAACAACACGATCATGATTGATATTATCATCATAAACTGCATTGTTTCATAGTAGTGATCGATTCGGTTTAAGATCGTTGTTGAACGACTACAAGGAAAATCTGCAAAGTGATCAAAATAAATGAATAAAAAAAATCACTGCAATCAAATCACATCCGAATCTTATTTTTATTCTAAATCAATCTTTGTTCAAAATGTTCGTTCATTTGAAATTTATTTAAAATATACTTTTCATGTCGGGGCCTTTCATAGCTTTTACGCGGGATGGGTTTTGTTCCTTGTTGGGGCTATACGGTGACCTATAATTGTAAACATTTATGTCATTTATTCTCTGGTAGAAATACCAAATTTCCTTATTTTATATCATTTTCTAGAATAGAGAATGTGTAGCTTAAAATTCAAATAAAAAAAAACTAGAAATTTGTGTACTAGACAATTAAATAAATAAAAGAATGAAACAAAAGAGTATTCAATTTGAGTATCTTTATCTGTTTATTTTGTCTAGAAAGGTTATTCTTGCTATTTAATGTAATGTTAAAAAGGGACAAAACCTAAAAAAAATTAACTGACATTTTCTTTCTATCAAATTTTGTCAATTAGTGAACAAAATAGGTTATCGAATTAAGTTTTAAAAGATTAGACATCTGGGCATTATTCAAGCATGTTAAATTGACGTTTCAGTGAAGGGTCGGAAGTGTTTTTTTTTTTGTATCACGGCTTCCTCTACCAACAAAACAGAACACCACGATTAAATTGAGATACTGTTGAAAGTGGCGTTAAACTTTCAGTAAAGTAAATTTTATTATCTTTGGGTCAGGAGGATATTTTGAGAATGGAATATTCATTTTCACCTCTTGCAAATCCTGCTAAATTATATATCGGGCAATTGTTTTCCGATTTCCTTCATTTTGTTTTGCCTAATATTCACTATACACTCTGCTTTCTAAATTGGACAGTAGATAATGATGGTCGGATGGGTCCATTCGTCCGTTCTTTCGTCTATCTGTTCATTCATTGCATTCATACCCAGATAGATCTATACAATACGAATCACACAGCTCGTGAAAAATGGTTTTCTTGAACATTAAAACGATGCGCAGCAAGACAAATTCTTCCAAGAACTTGCACCAACTCGGAATTGGATTTTCCTCCAAATTGTGTTAATAAATGTGATAAGATCCACCAATTGTTACGCCATAAAGGAGACACCAACTAAGACAAAACCGAAAAGAAAAAAAGAAAATGCCATAAACTAAATGGAAGAATTTCAGAATGTCAAGTTTATGTCGAACACGCTATCATACGTTTAAAACATTTAGGGTTGTCGGTACTTTGTGGAGACATCCAGGACACGAATCAAATCAAATTGTTGAATTGTGTTCTGGACTTGTGGAGAGGCAAACTGAACATATTCTACTCATATCATTTAATATATATATTTGGACTTGTGGTCGTAAAATCCGTCATTCCCATTCTTGACCCTTACATATATTTTTTTAAAGTTTTGTTTTGCACTCCTAAATCAAGCAAATGCAAATGAATTTATTAAGATCTACGTAAGGCTAATGCACGTCTTAAAATTTGGAGTCGACGTTAACTGTTTGCTTCAAACCCATCGCAAAGCTAAACTATACTACGTTGGATACTTTTCAATTTAATTACACTTTTAGAAAGTCCACACTTAAATCTTGTATCGGTATTGGTATTTAACGTCAGCGCAGTATTTAAATCCCTTTCCTAACACGTCTAATAAGCATCATAAATAAGCATCATAAAAGAGCCGTCTAAGAGAACAAATTTGGTAAATAATACAATGATTATAAATGTTTCACAGCAATTATGCCAAAGGATTCCTCTAGTCCTGATTATATATACATAACCCTACTTGTATACTTATTGTATACCCAGTGTACTTGCTATTAAGGATTTTCGGCCTAGGATAGAAAGTCTCCTTTGTATTTTAATCTTTTTCTTGATATTCAAACAGAAGGACGACTTCAAACTAAAATTTATGACAAACGCCACGATTCCAGCTTTCACATTGCCAATTTCCCATTTCTCAGAAGTAAAGTTACTGGAGCTGGTGTATAATGTATAGAATTCTTTGGTTTAGGTTTTGTCTTTAATTGCCTTGAAAGCCATACTCTCGGCCTGGTGGAATTTTACTCATCCTCCTCGTTAGATGCCTACTTTCTAACGGTAGGAAAGTCCCCATAATTATGTCTGTTTGTTTTGCTCACACATTGTTGTCAATATAATGGAGTTCTATGCGACTGTCATACAAATGAGAGGTTTAGCTAGCTATAAAACCAGGTTTAATCCACCATTTTATACATAAGGATATGTCTGTACCAAGTCAGGTTTCCATTCGTTTGATGTGTTTGAGCTTTGATTTTACCATTTGATAACAGACTTTCCGATTTGAATTTTTCTTCGGTATTTTTGTTATTTTACTTTTTACCACCGTATGGCGCTTACTTAATCAGTTGATATGCTACGCAGAGGTTTGCTCCAGTCTTAAAAACTGTTCCATCAGGGTTATGAGGAAGATCGACTGTAAAAGTCGACATTTCTCAGGTTTTTTGGCCACAATCCCGAACTGGTAAACCGATACGATATGTCTGAATATCAACTCACAATAGATATGTTATGACATCTTAAGTAACCATCAAAGTCTTCTGATCTTTACATCTATTGATTGTTTCTGATTACCTATTGTGATATTTTGACTTGGTGTGGATTCGCGTGGCGGTTGATGCATGCATAGCAATATATATAACCTAACCCGTCGACGCAACCGGTTTGCTGGTTTTGGTTTCACCCTTAATTGGTATATTCTTAATGATTTTGTTTTATATTTAAACAAAAGTAAACTACTGCTGTCTCTCATATATAAATAAATTTGCAACTTTCCTCTTCGGTTATGATTGCCAATAAGACAACTATCCACCAAATGACTAGGATGTGAACAACTATATTTCATCGTATGACCTTAAATAACAAGTAAAAACATTCCGTAATGGTATAGTAAGATATGAAAGACTTTGGGATGACAAATTGTGAAACAATTCACCAAAGAAAACTAACAGCCTGATTTATACTAATATAAAAAGTAAGATGTGGTATAATTGCCAACGAGATAACACTCCACTAGAGACAATTATAGGTCATCGAACGGCCTTCAACAATGAGCAAACCTCATACTGCATAGTAAGCTATTAAAGACCCTAAATGATATAACCCAATAAACGAAACAAATGATGAAAGACAGCTACAAACGACAGATTGGTCAGTTAGGAATTACGATGGTAAGATTCTACGTATGCATATTGTTTGTGATTGTCCAATGTGCGTATTGATCGCGGTTTCAAGTGGTTCTATAGAACAAGGATGTTGTTTCAAGCTATCTAAAAATGGTCGCACTAACACTTTTCGCACATCTTGTTTTTCAAGTATTGGGAGAAAATGAAAAAAAAATAATAAGTTGACCGAACTTAACCACACTTGAATTAACTTCTTTTAAATGTTTGGCTTTTTCTACTATCAGTCGCTAATCGGTTTCTGTGATAAATCAATTACTTTTTTTTAAATGCATGTACAAAAACAGACGTAGAAAAGAGTGTGTTCTCCCTTTGAGCAACGTTCATAATTAACATTTTTTTAAATCACATACTTCTAATACTGATTTCATTATCATTGTATAGGTCTTACTTCTTTTACTGGATTTGAAGAGCCAGAGTTGTCGTTACAGGAAATGCTCACACGACTAATTGAGATGAATAAACCCACTGTTAATGATGACAGACATAACAAATACTGCAGCTACATAATGCGATTGTTGTCCTATTTCAGCGGAGAAAGATGTATGGTTGCTGGAAGTACTCAGGAGCAGACACGTTTAAGAATCAGACAAGACGAAGGGGATTTCGACTACCTCATAATTTCGGCAATATCTATTCCTGTTAGTGCTTTGGAGTACAGGGAAGATCTTCCTTGTTTTGTCCACATAAATGGACTTCAGTTGGTTAAACAACTTCCGACTGTTCAACTGATTGATGGTCGTTATCTACCAAGTAATTTACTTAGTGAAATTAGACCTGAAGCTTTTAAGCATATAAGAGATTTTCACAAATTACTCTCAATTTTTGGAGAAACACGTCGTCGCAACAGTTTGCAGGTGGCTCTAGATCATAATATAAAGCCAGGAAAAACGTTAGTTTCGTACAATGATGTTGATTGTCCAGCTTTAGATATGAAACAAGCTAAAAGTAATCCGAAATTAATATTTGAGCATTTAAAACAAAGTATTGATGAGCAATTATCAGAAGGAAAAGATGAAATGATGTCTCATCTTATAAAAGTAGCTAATGTAATAGACGCTTTTTCGAAAGCTGACATCAAAACAGATTCTGAAACGTCTAATTTTTTACAAACGTTTGGCTCCATTATTGGTGCTCTTTCATGTGAAACTGCTGAAAATACTAACTGTCAAAACATTACGGATACTTGTCCAAATGAGAAATTTGATAGAAAAAACAAACAAAAATATTTTTATATGAAGCCAAAATCAAACAATATTGATGACAATACCAATAGAGAGGAGTTCGACAAAGGCGATGTTATACTAAAATATAAATCAAAATCAAGCAAAGATTTTATACCAGCATTCCCGCTTGCTGGGAAGCCAAGATTTCTTGATGAGTGGAAACAACGTAAACGCGTCTGGCCACCAGAACATGTAGTGGATGATATTTACAATAGCGAGTTCTTTGTTGTTGCAAAACCGGCCTTGACAAAACGAGAGAGAAAGAAAGATTTTTGTTTGGCGTACAACAACGGTGAAATAAAGCTGGCGAGAGCAATGACTAGTGTTCAAAAGAAGGTTGTTCTCATTCTTAAAGCTATTAAAAAGAGTTTATTGCAAGATTATTCAGAAATATTAACTACATTTCATTGGAAAACAGCAGTTTATTGGAACTCAGAAACTCTCAATTCGTTGTTACTAGTGGATACAGAAGACAACGTATTTAAATTGTTGATAAAAGTTCTAGACTACATGATCAATTGTTTGCGAGGTAGAGAACTGCAACACTTCTTTATTCCAAGCAATCTTTTTGCGGGGATGAATGAAAACACTTCTATTGAAATTGCGAACAAAATTACGGAAATTCGGGAACATCCGATCAAAGCTTTGAATGTGTTTTTCGCTGGACAGACGTTTGATGAAATAAAATATGAAAAAATTCCTGCAGAAAAAGTAGCAGAATTCCGGAAAGCATATAATGATCCAAGCGAAAGTTCAAAAATTGATATTATCATGGCTATACTAAAGAGATTTTCGAGTGAAAGTAAGGAAAAGGTACGGGCGGCATTGCATGACGTGCTCACAGATGCACTTCCATTTTTCATCGAAGAAATGGCAAGAAGACGAGATAAGAGTCAAGTAAATTCAGCTTTAGAACAGTTGATATTGTCAATTCAAATTCGCAAAGAAAGTTTTATTGACATGGTAGTAAACCATTTACTAGACAAAGTTAGGGAAAAAGAACTAAATGGTAAAAACATTGCTCAGATTTTCTGGACTCTAATTTTAGAAAAAGTATTAAATCAATAAAAATATGTGACTTGTCCTGTAATATGACGTCATCATCCTGTATATATAAATATCACAAGGATTTAATAGTTGTGTCTCTTAAGTTTTTCGTGTGGGCATATGGGCATAGTTATATCAACTATTTGAACTTAAATTTATTGAGCAGAAATAACGCCCAATAAAGAGCAAAAAGCATATGCATATATCCAGATAACAACAAGTACAATGTTCGATGATCTTAAATAACCAGTAAATACATGTACAATCACCAAAGAAAACAAATTAAAATGAACATAACTGATTACTTACATCCTTAGCTTTGTGTTCTTATATAATTGCATCAGTGGTTTCGTAGCAGCGTATTTCCTCGAATACAGAAGTCAGTAGGTTCAATCCCCGGCTTCTTCAAACCAAAAACTTTAAAATTTGTTCTTGTTGTTTTTTTATTCTCAAGACAAAACGGTGGCATTAACGTAAGTAAAAAAAAAACTGATCGGTTAAAAGTCAGCATACTAAGTAGGTTGATGTGGCTGCCTGCACACTTTGACTTTGTGAGCCAGCAGCCTATGTTAATTCATATTTCATTAACATTTTATCACTCTTAATGCTTGATGCGGGGTTTAAAAGGTCATCAATTAATCGATCAGTCATATAATATGAGTTTCATTTTTCGCTGCTTATACCAAAGTTGTATACTCAATTCAACTCAAATCTTTATTTTCATATTATGACAAAATAAACAAAAAACAACATTAATATACAATATCTAAAGAAAGTTTTCAAGTCTCCTATCTTCAGTTCTATCGGCTGTTTTTAAAAAAAGGAACTAAGATTATTTACCTTAATGCATGATCTAGGTTTGAGGATAATAATATGTCATTTTATTTATTACCATCTACGTTTGAACTCGATAGAACATTGGTCAATCGATTTCGTTGGAATTTGGAAGGACGCGTAACGAACATGTATAAGTTCGATCCCCGATTTTCTCGTTTGAATTGTTTTACATTTGTCTGTTGCGTAGGTAATTGTTAACGAACACTGTATTTTTTTGTTTGTCTTCGTTGAGAGGCTCACCACTTATTCCACATTTTATAATGAAAAACACATCAGCACTTTAACATTTATTCTATCATTTATAATACATCATACATACAGTTCACATATTCCAGTTCAATTCTAAAGTTAAATCAAATCATATTTTCCATTCTTATTTATAGGGACAAATAAAGCATAAAGCACGAGATATTAGTTAATATAAGGTTTTCTATAACAATTAACGGAGATACTCATTTATAATTAACGGAGAAACATATAACAATCAGAGGAGATGATTAATAGAGACAAAAGTTATGATAAAAGGAGCAAGTTTCATGTAAAACAAAATGTCAAAGAAGAAATATGTTTAAACAATAATAATGTTAATCGCAATTCGCGACACTCCCAAACAGAAATTTAAACAAATAGTTCACTAAAATCCTGGAAGCAAATTAAATATTCCTTAAATAAAAATCACTTTAATAAGACTTGTTCTCCATACAATTCCTTGATCTTTTGTCTCGTTATTTCAGCAGACTTTCTCTTACATCTCAGAACATGGTTTTTTAGTAGAATCGGTGGTTTCTGTTTCATTTGAGTCAACTCCAATCTCAATAGGATATAGTTAATTCAGTGGTCTACCAACCACTTTTCCTGAAGAAAGTTGGACTTTGACAGATCTTATCTGTCTATCGCTACTTGGAATCAAAGTAACAAGTTTTCCGAGTTTCCAAAATCCCCTAGGAACGTTATCTTTTAAATGAATAACATCTCCGACCTTAGGGGAAAAAGGAGACCGAACTCTTCCACATTTTAAAGACATCTGCATTCGTTCACGAAGGCTCATCAAATAGTCGTCTCGCCACATTTTTCAAAAACGAATCTAATAACCTTTGTCCTTTCTTCCAAATCTTTAGTAATTTATCTCTGTTGCTTGCAAATGGTATGAATGTTTGATCACGCAAGTCACAATCAATTTCAGGAACACCAACATTTGGGTTAAGGGATAAGAAATTACTAGGGGTTAAAGTTATTTTTGGAATTGACATCATCCCCAACATATACAAGGGGACGGGAATTTACAACTGCTTCTATCTCCTTCACTGTAGTTAGTAATTGAACTTCAGAAAGTAATTTTTTGTTTATAGTTTTCCTCAATGAACGTTTGACAAGGCCAACTTGTCGTTCATGGAAACCCCCCATCCATGGTGCTAATTCTGTAATAAACTTCCAATGAATTTCTGAATTTGAAATATGACTTTGCACATCTTCACTAGTAATCACTTGTTTCCACACTGAATTCACAATTTCACCTCCAAGTTTGAACTGAGTGGCATTATCACTGATGATTTGTTTAGGAGTACCTCTGGTTGAGATGAATCTTCGGAATCCATATAAAAACTCCTCTGTCGTCATATCTTGTAACAATTCTAGGTGAACAGCGCGTGTAACAACACACGTGAAAAGACAAATCCATCTTTTCCTTGTTTCTCCAGAATATTTCACTAGAATTGGACCTAAATAATCGAGCCCCGTTCCTGATAAGCGGACTGCTTGAGACACTCTTGACTTGGGAAAAGAAGCCATCACTGGCATTTTGTATGGTCCTCCTTCATGACTTCTACACACTTAGCAATTTCGCAGAACTTGTCTTACAGCAGCACGACCTTGCGGTATCCAGTAATTGTACCTGATCTGGGATAATGTTGGTGAAACGCCACAATGAAGTTGTTTACAGTGAGTATGTTGTATCATAAGATCTGTGAACCTCTCCCCTCTAGGAAGTAGTATAGGATATCTTGCTCCTTCTGAAAGATCTGTATTCTCTAATCTTCCTCTACATCTCAAAATACCATCATCACCTAGGAAAACGCCAAGTTGATTTTGGAAATTGCTTTTCTTTCTTGAGGAAAGGGCACTGAAAACATCTGAGTAACGTCCATTGCTTTGTTGCACACTGTAATTCTGAACTAGTTAATTCTTGTCTTGACTCTGTTGACGTTTTTCTTAATCGATCTATAAAACGTGTAATCCATGCTGTAATACGAATTAATCGTATGAAGGAAGAGAATTTATCACTTTGAATCCCATAAGGTGTTTTGTCAGATATATCAATTGTACCAACATTAGCACTATAATGAGAACTGCTTTCTTTGACATTCTTTTTGACTTCAGACTGATAATTTTTATTAACAGTTTCATTCTCGCTATAAAAGTACAACTTCCAGGATCCTTCAGCACAGTTTAACCAGACAGTGCCATGCCACCACAATCTGCTGATGGTAAGTTTGTTTGTCGAAGTTCCTCTTGTAGCAACATCAGCAGGGTTTTCATTGGTTGGAATGTACTCAAACTTTATATCTTCTTGCTTCTTTATTTCTGCTACCCTGTTTCTTACGAACACAGTTAGATCTTTGTGTGATGAAATCCACTTTAATACACATTGTGAATCCGACCACAAGATTTTCCTTTCAACTGGTATTTTTATTTCAATTCAACGAATTGCAGACTCCTAACTCCAAAAAGAACTGCCATTAACTCTAGTCTTGGAATTGTCATTCCCTTTACCGGCGTTAGTCTAGTCTTAGAAAACTCAAGGTTGCACTTTGCAACTCTGTTACTAATTTGATGAAGATAAACAGCGGTAGCATACGCACTTGCAGAGGCGTCACAAAAACAAAGTAATTTATACTTCCTTAATTGTGGCAAGCTATCCATTGCAATACCTCTAGGAATCTCACAATCTGTTATCTTAAGTAACTGTGCACGTATCTCTTTTCATCTGACGTAATCTTCTTTATCTAATTCATCGTCCCAATTTTAAATTTTTCTTCCATAGATCTTAGAGAAACACCTTTTCTTGAATAGTAAGGGGTGAAAAGAGTCCAAGTGGATCAAACACTTCAGTTACTTCCTTCAGAGTGGTTCTTTTTATTTGATTCCCTCCTATTACACACGAACGAGTTGACTTCAAACTCAACGTATCTGTATCAATATTCCACACATGACCAAGAACTTTCGTTGAACACACACTCTCCTTATTGCTCTCTGGAATAAAGGCATTCACGTTTTTGTCATTTGAAATCCATTCTCTGAGGTTCATAGATGCTTCTCTGAAAATCTTCTTTGAATCGGAATAAATACTTATCGCCTCCGTCACAGAATTTGCACCGGTGATCAGGTTATCTACATAGATGTCATTTCTTTTTTTTTCCGCGATCGGTTGTTCACACGCACTTAAATGAAAATCGATAGAAGTCCCTAGAAGAAACGGACTAGAAATCGTCCCTAATGGGACACGACAAAAACGATATTATATTATGTTTTCACTGGTCAATATTGGGTTGTCTGTATCTTTGATTCAGAGAAATCTTGTAACATCTCTTTCACTTTGCTGTAGACCTATTTGAAGGAAAGCTTTTTCAATATCAGCCACAAGTCCCACTTTGTGAAGCCTGAATCTCATTAGTATACCACACAAAGTTTTCAACATTACTGGTCCTCTATACAGACATTCATTTAAATTTTTTACGTCCTTGTTTGTTTTCGATGAGGCATCATACACTATACGTAACTTGGTGGTAGATTTCTGTGGTGTAACCCCTGCATGATGAGGAATATAATGGATCAAACTGTTGGTCTTTTCTTCAACTTTCTCTATTATCTCCCGTTTTAATTGTTCCTGTATGACAGAATCATACTGTTTTAGTAACTCTGGTTTTTTCTTCATCCGGCCGATACAAGACTTTAAGCTTCCAAAAGCTAGAGATCTATTAACAGGTAAATCAGGATCATCTTGTTTCCAAGGCCAAGTTACTTGGTATCTTCCGTTTTGGAATTTCAGTTTTTCCCTGAACGATTGCATTGCCTTTTCATCATCTGAATTTTCCAACTGATCGGAAATACCAACTGATTCCAAGTTCCAGAAATCAGTTAGATCTGGTGGGAAATAAATCCACATTCCCGTGGCATAATATTTGTCTTTTCAGAAACAACATCACTAATGACATGTGACAGAATCAACAGTCCTGTTTCATCTTTACAATCAGAAGTATCTTTTGCTCTTCCTGTAATTATCCACCCAAGTTTTGAGGCAAGAAGGTACAACTCAGGTTGAATCTCAATTCTTTGTAAAAGTATTAAATCTAAATAATAATAATTTCCAATCAGTATATCCATACTTGATGACTCAATTTCAACTAGTATATTATCAGCAAGTTCAATGTAACTAAAAAATTGTTTCAAATGGGTAATTGTTGAGTCATCTAATTTTCTTCTTTGTACATTTCCGCTTATAACTGGGACTATATTTGCCACAATACTAAAGTAATTTCCGTTCTTCAATCTTATCTCTAGTTTAGTGGTCCATGTTTTCACACTTTTTGCCTTTTCACTTCCAAATGTAACTAGCTTAATTTCTTCTTCCTTTTCACCCTTTAATTTCAATTTATTTGCTAAACTTTGTGAAAGGTACGTCCTCTGGGATCTTGAATCGAAAAGAACACGTGTTGTCTGCTTGAAAATAGTGCCAACATTTCTGACATCAGTTTTTGCAGTTTGCATAAGAACCATTTCACTAGATGTGATGAAAACGTTTTCCTGTTCATCTGTATTGCCATTCTGAAGCGTCGTTTCATCAAAAATTCACTATCCGGACTTCTATTCACTATTAACTCTTCTGAAAAATGAACACTTGATGTCTTCAAATTGAATTTTATCGGACACAAACTTCTATGGTGGGAATTTACCTCATTGCAGTAAATACACAGTTTGCTCCGTTTACAGTCCATTGACTTATGACCTTCTCTAAGACACTTGAAACAACTCCCTTTGAGTTTTTTCTTTCTTTCATCAATGCTCTGGTACCTTAGACACTCATCACTCCAATGTTTCTCACCACAGTATCGACATTTCTGTTCTTCTTAAATGGTTTATTACGCCAAGTGTTTGAATTTCCTTTATTCACATTTTGCGTGTGTTGTCTGCTATCCTTTTGGGTGTATGCGATTCCTGATTTCTCTCTGGCTATGACGTAATCATTCAACTTGTCACATAAAATGGAAATCGTCCACTTTTCTATGGAGCCCTTTTGAATTTCTAACTGTAGCATCACTTCTTCAGGTAGTTTTGATTTCACAATTGAAATAAACACATCTTGATTCACATTTTGTTTTAACATTTCCAAACTTCTTAGGTGTATTTTTACTTTATCAAGAAAATCTCTAAGGCTTGTTGTTCTATGCGTAGCAGAAGGCAAATTCATCATTTGGTTGTAGTGTAAATCAATTACATCTTGTTTGTTTCCGAATCTCTCTCTCAAAATACCAACAGCCAGATCATAATTATCGTTCGACAGTGCTAACCCAGCTATTGCAAGCTGGGCTTGTCTTTGCAATTTGCTTCTTAGGTAATTAAATGTCTCAATATTTGACAGATGTTTATTTTTGTGAATTGATGATTCGAAAGAGTCCCAAAACTCAATCCACTTAGCTTTGTCGCCAGAGATTGATATCAAATCCAATTGAGGTAACTTAACGGAAGTTGCTTCCTCATCTTTCATTGCATACTCTTTTTCTTTATGTTCAATTTGATTAACATGATTAACGGAAACAAAAGTTATGATAAAAGGAGTAAGTTTCATGTAAAACAAAATGTCAAAGGAGAAATATATTTAAACAATAATAATGTTAATCGTAATTCAGGAATACAGAAGTCAGTAGGTTCGATCCACGGCTTCTTCAAACCAAAAACTTTAAAATTTGTTCTTGTTGTTTTTTTATTCTCAAGAAAAACGGTGGCATTAACGGAAGTAAAAGAAAAGACTGATCGGTTAAAAGTCAGCATACTAAGTAGGTTGATGTGGCTGCCTGCACACTTTGTGACTTTGTGAGCCAGCAGCCTATGTTAGTTCATATTTCATTAACATTTTATCACTCTGAATGCTTGACGCGGGGTTTTAAAGGTCATCAATTAATCGATCAGTCATATTGTATGAGTTTCATTTTTCGCTGCTTATACCAAAGTTGTATACTCAATTCAACTCAAATCTTTATTTCATATTATGACAAAATAAACAAAAACAACATTAATTTACAATATCTAAAGAAAGTGTTCAAGTCTCCTATCTTCAGTTCTATCGGCTGTTTTTAAAAAAAGGAACTAAGATTATTTACCTTAATGCATGATCTAGGTTTGAGGATAATAATATGTCATTTTATGTATTACCATCTGCGTTTGAACTCGATAGAACATTGGTCAACCGATTTCGTTGGAATTTGGAAGGACGCGTAACGAACATGTATAGGTTCGACCCCCGATTTTCTCGTTTGAATTGTTTTACATTTGTCATTTCGGGGGCTTTTATAGCTGACCATTCTTGTTGAAGACCGTACGGTGCCTATATCTGTTAATTTCTGTGTCATTTGGTCTCTTGTGGAGAGTTGTCTCATTGGCAATCTTGCCACATCTTCTTTTTTATATAAGAGACGTGCAGCGAAACAACATAACTTTTTATATTATCTGACGTATAGGTTTATGCAAATTGATGAGGAACACAGTTGAAATAGGTATCTAACTTTTACCAGAAAAAAATCTCAAATAAAAAAAGCATAAATTTAAAACATTATACATGCATTATATGTAATCGAGATTATATTTTTTTCAATATAACTAACGATCAATTATTGTCGTAAGCTAGGTTATGAAGATACCCCAAAGCATTTTTTGTAAGAACAGGCGTGGTTATATAAAGCATAATTCTCTCATTTAAACCCTTGAGATTGCAGAACGCAGACAGGTTAAATTTATTAATTTTATCAGCTTTTTGAAATATAAACGGATGACATGCGTCCCCGAAAGCCATTAATTCGGTACGCTTCAAATCAATCATTTTTGAAGCCAAACTTATTCGATGTTTGATATAATCAAAACCGTTAGAAAAAATTGAAAACAACACGTTTAAAAATTGCATGCGTCCGAAACGCTTTTCTGGATTTACCTTCATCAGGAACGCTCAAAGCCAAACATTTGAAATCCGAGAAATGTACAGTTGAAGAGCTATATGACAAAAATACATTAAACAAAGAGCCAAATTCATCTAAGGTTAACTTTGCCTGAGGGAGTTGAAACCTTAGTTTCTTTATAATTTCAAAATTTATAAACGGACAATTTTTGAAAGGTTTGTTATAAATCATGTCAGTACCGAAGTACTGACTACTGAGCTGAAACTGAGCGACCTGCAATTTAGTTTCAGTACTATTTGACCCCAAAAGGATTCCGATCTAAGACCATTTCTTTTCTTTTTCAAAACCCAATATTAACTAATAAATAGACAATTTTTTCATCAGACTTAACGTCCCCAGTTGTACGCGTTTGCCTATAAAAAATTAATTGCTTACATCCACTTCATTTGAATTGTGGTGGATAGTTGACTTATTGGCAATCATACCACATCTTCTTATTTGTATATTAAATACCAATCAGCTAACACCATATGCAGCGAAAAAAAGCATGGCCCTGTGCAAATACAACTTGTAATTATCGGCAAGATACACTCATACAGAACCATAAGCGTTATGATATCCCGTTTCTAATGAGATTTCTACATGTACAGCCAAACTTCCAAACATTTCTTTGTATTTATGAAAGAATTTAGTAAAGGCTTTTTGTAATTTGTTGATATGAATACTAGACAATTCTACAAAGATAACGTCCATTGAAATCCAAGACGGGCCACTTCATCCACGGATATAACGAACGAGTTGGGGAAAACATGTAACGACTTGTTTAAACATACACACTGTAAAAAATGAAAACAACACTTTATAAATTGTATGCGTCCGAAGAGCTTTTTTGGATTTACCTTCATCACGAACGCTCAAAGCCAAATATTTGAAAGCCAAAGATTTATAAGAAACGAAGCAGTTAAAGAGTTACATAATCAAAACCACCGTGTAGCATCACCACCGGATATAGGTACCTCCGAAGCAAAGAAACAGTGATAGCAAAAAATACCTATTCTTATCCCGTACAGAAAACAACAAATCGCTGCTATTCGCCGTAGTTTATCTGCTTTATGAACATGAATTTCACTGTGTAAGCTTAAATGTGATATACCTTTGTTCTACGAAAACGTCAAGTGAATACTAGTTGAAAGATACTGAACTAGTACGCAGTTTTGTTTAGGGGCCAGCAGAAGCCCACCTTCGGGTGCGGGATTTTCTCGCTGTGTTGAAGACCCATTGGTGGTTTTGGGATTTTTTTTTGTTTTTTTTTTTTTTGCTCTTTGCTTGGGTTGTTGTCTCTTCGACACATTCCCCGTTTCCATCCTCAATTTTGTTTTATCAAGTTTGAACTCCTCACATGCTTCGTTGAACAGGTATCACCCTATCCGATTCTGACGATTTAAAGAGAGAGACCGCCAATTAAGGATTATAATCAACCCTAAATAGTACTGTAGCTACATTATTAGGAATCACTATCACAAAACTTTACTTGACAGCAAAACGTAGAATATAATAAAAATAAGAAGAATTTGACCTTACCCGACTTCAAATTTGTTTTTCCACCGGTTCGGATGTTCCTATATCCGATGGTGATGCTACGCAATGAAAACGGACCTAAAAATTGCCAAATCCATCTAAGGTCAACTTTGCCAGAGGAAGTTGAAACCTTAGTTCTTTATAATTGTAAAAATTATAAACGGACAATTTTAGAAAGGTTTGTCATAAATCATGTCAGTATCGAAGTACCGACTACTAAGCTGATGATACCCTCGGGGACTTATAGTTTATCAAATTTATCAAAAGAAGTATCGACCCAGTGCTGAAACAAAATGAAAACAACACGTTATAAATTACATGCGTCCGCTTTTCTGGATTTACCTTCATCCGGAACGCTCAAAGCCGAAAATTTGAAAGCAAAGGATGTATAAGAACAGAAACAGTTAAAGGGCTTTTATTGAGAATGTTGTGTTTTTATCTGTGATTCGGTTATTCAGATTGGTTTTTTTTGTCTGTGTTTCAATTATTGGGATTGTTGTTTTTTATCCGTGTTTCAATTATTGAGAATGTTGTTTTTATCTGTGTTTCAACTATTTAGAAAGTTGCTTTTCATCTCTGTTTCAATTATTGAGAATGTTGTTTTTATCTGTGTTTCAACTATTAAGAATGTTGCTTTTCATCTCTGTTTCAATTATTGAAATTGTTGTTTTTATATGTCTTTTAATAATGTTTTGTAGTTTTAGTAATTAAGTAATTTTACAATATTCTAGGATGTGTGTATTATGTTTGTTTGAATAGTGTTTGTTCGCACATTTATAACTCGCATGCATTCATCTCATATAAAGTGACAAAACAAAACCACAAATGTTCGTACATTTATAACTCGCATGCATTCATTACATATAAAGTGACAAAAAAACACAATTGTCCGTACATGTATACCTCGCATTACATATAAAGTGACTAAAAACCCACAAATACAATCTTCTTTTCAATATTGAATATATTTTCATAAGTGAGAGTTTAAAATACCAATTCTTATTGCGTTGGGAGCTTTCAAACTTGTCAAAATATACATGACTTTCTGTTTCAATAGACTCGTCATACTAAAATCACCCCAAAACGTAACTGGGGATTAGAAATATGGCCACTTCGGTCGCTAAAGTGGGGCGTTCGTTTGGCCGTGCGGGGTGTGCAAGTACGCAGCCACATCCTTTAAAAATGGGAACGTTGAATCTTATACCTTGTGTAGAGAGGGTGCCACGCTGTCTGCAGGTTAAGAACCCTTTAACAACTTTGAGGAGTTCGTAGGAGTTTTTTTCAAGGCAAAATTTCTGTTTCTATCCACTAAACCACATTTTGAAGTCCAAATTTCACCGACCTTCGCCCCGGACAGCCTCTTTTAGAGGACTACCTATTGTATTCATTGTTGAATTATTCGCGTCTAGACATGCATGTAATGTTTGCCACTGGGCGTTAAGCAACCAACAATCAATCAATCATGGAAATCACACTGAAATGTAACGTTAACTGATCTAGGTACTCAAACTATAATCATCTTGTTTATAAACAAAGCAGCAATACATTAGGGAATGACCATTTAACTTAAAGGGAGGGGTATGGTTTTTTTCCCAAAAAAATATTCTGATCCCAAATTTGATGAAAAAAAATATTGTGGTCAAGCAGATGACAAAAAAACTATTCTGAATCCAGATTTTCCCCATACCTTATAGCGTTAAATTTTGAAAAAAACAATTTGATTGATAGCGTCGAAAAACTAAAAAAAAATGTGCGCGTAAAAAATTTCTGACTCAGACAAAAAACGATACCCCCTCCCCCCTTTGAAGTTAAATGGTTGCGCCCTTATATTTCAATATTAGTTTTGACACAAAAGCAAAAATGGACTCATAAGATTTTCCCTATATATATCTTAACATGGTCCGAAAAATTGCATGCAATTTGCAAATTTTCTTCGTGATCATTGTTCAGTCATTTTACCATTGAGATATTGACGTCGTCTCCTCCGAACTTAAAATATGAACGACATGACAGGTGTAATACCACCATTGATTTTCCCCTATTAGTCTTTGTTAACTTTGCACTTTTCAAAAAATTGTGCAGAATTTATCTTTGTTTCAAATAAAGAAATACTTGGCATGAGTAAAGTTTTGTCCTGTCCAGTACTATAGAACATAACATTTCATTGCATATAAGAAAATAACCATCACTGGAAGTTAACCAATCAAATTTCCCCCTTTTATTAACCTCTGTACAAGCTTTAGTAACCATGTAACCTCAAGTTTCCAAAATATTCTATAAAAACCCCAAATAAAAAAATAATGGTGTTTTTAAATACCCAAGATATATGTTTATGACCCAGAAATGTTTTACTGCTATGAAATGTAGGATTAAGTACCTACAACTGTCAAATTCAAGGGAATATTTTTTTTCGACCTATATTCGTATGCAACCGGATGTGACGTACTATGATTTGGTGGTATTACACCTAAAGAAGACTTTTGTTGAATAAACTGAATGTGACTTTTTTCCTTTGTAATACTGCTTATTCCAAGCATTCCTGTCAAGTTTTGTCATAATCAGATCAATAGTTTGAGAAAAATCTATTATAATGTAAGACGACATCTACAGCGATTCGAGCAAAATTTCTTCGAAAGATCCAAACCAAGCCGCATCATGATAGAATATAGTGTGGACCAATAAGTGATCAAATATTTATCTCATCCGCCTACAAACAGTTGAATATGATATAAAAGATGACTTTAGGGTGATAAATACCACTATTGGACCTCTTTGTCTTCCTTATAAGGTCTGTTTTGGTCCATTTATACCTATCATTTCCTCAAAATTTCAACTTTTTAGGCCAATAAATACAAAGGTTGGGGTAACATTCACTCATTCATGATAGAAATGTTATCATAAATGAGTAATTGAAGTATTCGAGCTGAATGAACTATCAATATAAAAGTTTACAGTCTCCAAGGAGGTTACAATAAGTCCTTACGTAAAACTTAAATTTCGGCCGCGTTCCAGAGAGGGACATAAAAAGCTTCTCTTCTAGTGAATAATTTGTTGTTACTGCTTTAAAAATAATTGCATTTACTTATAACTATATATTTATTAAAGTATTTCTTGGGGGAAATTTTCTATTATAGCAGAATATAAGAAATAAGGAGAAAAAGCTCCCCTAAACACTAAGTATGGCTTGTTCTGTCAGGTAATATTCATGGTAGAGTCCTATTTCAAGGAAATTTTCTCATAAATTGTGTTTTGGAGACTCAATCCACTCAGAATATTTCATTTTTTGTAATATTTCACTTAGATAGCAAGAAATTTGAACACATGAGAGTACTCACAAGGTCAAAGGTGCATGTACAGCTTCCCATATTAGCTGTAATACCACCATTGAATTTCCCCTATTAGTCTTTGTTAAATTTGCACTTTTCAAAATATTGTGCAGAATTTATCTTTGTTTCAAATAAAGAAATACTTGACATGAGTAAAGTTTTATCCTGTCCAGTACTATAGAAAAATTTCACATAACATTTCTTTGGATATAAGAAAATAACCATCTCTGGAAGTTAACCAATCAAATTTTCCCCTTTTATTAACCTGTGTACAAGCTTTTTTAACCATGTAACCTTAAGTTTCCAAAATATTCTATAGAAACCCCAAATAAAAAAATAATGGTGCTTTTAAATACCCAAGATATATGTTTATGACCAGAAATGTTTTACTGCAATGAAATGTAGGATTAATTACCTACAACTGTCAAATTCAAGGGAATATTTTTTTTTCAACCTATTTTTGCATACGGAGTATATATCTCCCAATTGATACGATATTCCCGGGCTTGTATTTCCTATCATGATTTCCTTGATAGAGGATTGCTGCTCACAAGGAAGCTATTAAACCAAGAGTTCGAAATGATGAAATTGAAATCATCCCTTCGTAAATTTTACGGACGCCATCACGAATTGGTTGACCGTTATGGAATAAATGTTTCACGGATGATATCGGATATGTTCCTTATGTCTTAACTACAATACCCTTCCCTTTTCACAAATGTGACCTACCGAATTAGACTATTTACTGGATTTGTAATAACATAAGCAACACGATGGGTGCCACATGTGGAGCAGGATCTGCTTACCCTTTCGGAGCACCTGAGATCCCCGAGTTTTTGGTGGGGTTCGTGTTGCTTAGTCTTTAGTTTTCTATGTTGTGTCATCTGTGAGTTTGACTGTCCCTCTGGTATCTGTCGTCCCTCTTTCGTATGCAACCGGATGTGACGTACTATGATTTGGTGGTATTACACCTACAGTGGTAGTCTGTCGTTATAATAACTAACCCTGTAGATGTTGTCACTATGTCATAAGGATTAAATGGTTCCATCTCATGCGCATTATAGGTCCATTGCACGTGACCTTCTTCATTTAATGCAACGACCGTGCGTACATAGAATCTATGATCTATAACACAAATGTCACCATTTTTGTTGGTTGTAATTTTATTAGGGAAAGAAAATATGTGTTCATTGTTTTTGTTTAGTTCAAATGTCTTAATATGTGTTTTTTCTTCGTTCAGAACTAAGAGACCACCTTTTTAGCCATTATGAAAACCAGAGAATCCAACCAAAATGTTTCCACTGTCACCTGCATGAATGCCTCGAACCTTTTTTGGTTCAATGGATAAAAAGGTTGCTACTCCACTGTTTTTTTATATATACTTTATCTCCGAGCTTTGTTCCGATGCAAATAGTACAATGCCATCTTTTGTAAAAGAGGGACGAAAGATACCAGAGGAGGGACAGTCAAACTCATAGATCGAAAACAAACTGACAACGTCATGGCCAAAAATAGAAAGACAAAGAGACAAATAATAGTACAGATGACACAACATAGAAAACTAAAGACTTAGCAACACAAACCCCACCAAAAACTGGGGGTTATCTCAGGTGCTCCGGAAGGGTAAGCAGATCCTGCTCCACATGTAGTAATAAGTCAAAAACATAATCCGAAATTTATTTTTCATTTGAAATCATGCATTTGGAATCACTGAAAGAGACATTTCCTAGAAAATATACACATAACTTGTTCTTCCTAAATACAATAATAGTGGTACTGTCATGTTTGCCTTTAATTCCAGAAACATTAATATCTTCAATTTGATATTTAGGTTTCATATAAAGTTCTGGTAGTTTAATCAAAGATCCAAAGTCGGTGCAAACGTAGATGAAGTTTTAGAGATGAACTGTTGTTTTGGTCCGTTTACAGTATTTTCTAGTGCAATCTTTTTGTCTATTTTCCCAATAGTTGTTAGAATGAACGTTGCTTTGTGCAAATTGAAAGTTTCCAGGATCTCGTTTTTTTGATGTTTTAGACTTTCTTCATGGTCGCGTACTTTTTGCTGCTTCAAAGATATAACTGTATTTTCAGTTTTCGAAAGTCCTCTAGATCTTTCAAAAGACGTTTTGCATCATGTGTTGCTTGCACTTTTATTTCAATTTCTCGCTGCTCTATTTTTTGTCTGACATCATCGTAGTTTCTGGATATTTCATTCTCTTCTTGACTTATCTTTGCGGTGATTCTAGAAGTGTTTGCAAATCCTTCTCAATTTTTCTATGTATATTTTTTAATCTTTGTTGTTGATCTTTGTAAATAATTCCAAGCTCATTCAATTTGTGATCACGATGTTCAAGAATACACGAAGTGCAGATTGCCTTTTCACAGACTTTGCAAAAGTGATAACGTTTTCTATTTGCATGCTCTTTACATACAATTTTTTGTAGCTCCACCTCCCGGACCCAGTCAAGCGTTTGAATAGTTCCCAGTATTTTATATATCGATAATACGATGTTGATTCGAATCTTTGATTCTTGAATGTTTTCCAGTCTTGCAATTTTCACAGAGAGTTAGGTCACAGTTTAAACATTTCCACCTTACACCTCAAATTCTATTCCAACTGCTATCACAAAATTGACAAACAACACGTTGTTGAGCCATTTCCCCTTTTACAAGAGGTTCAAAATATGTGTGGTATATTTTCCTACGTTAATAATAAAGTTATTTGTCAAGCAAAATATATTGCTTTAACCTTTCATACAATGAAGAACATTCATAAGTATTATCAATTGATATACAACATTTTTTCGGGGTGAACCCTGAAACACAATACCATACGAGACTATGTGGAAGAGGAAAAGGGCAATATAACCCCATGTACCCATAGTTCCCTCGGAGGGGGGGGGGGTTATGTAGCTATTGTTTTCTATTATCATTTCAAAAGAAGGCCATAGTATAATATTGTAAATGTTTTTGACCTGACAAAGTTGAGCTACACTATATTATATGGCTGTTGGTCTTTTCTCAGTTGTTAATGGATGACTTACCTATATGATATTTGATATCAGTGAACACTACCAAACATAAGCCATGCATACACGACAAAGATTTAGTTTGATGATCTTTTTCAAAGTGAAACTGAGACTGGACCTACGGTTGATAAAAAGACTTATGGCGTTCAGAATGATTATCATATCGTAGTAGAGGGGTTCAAATTCAACATATAAATTCCAGATATAAAATTTATTCCAGTTTCAAATCATTATGTATATATACTTGCTTAAAATTAGATGTGAATCTATGTAATAAGTATGATACCCAGTTATACATCCCCACTTCATTTTACATCATAATCATACTGATGAAGGATATCTGTTATCCGAAATATTAATAGAAACTTAGTTTCCTTTTTTAAAATATTGGTGTTGTTTTGTACACTTTTTGTGCAGCCCAACAATGTTAGATCTGTAAATTTGCTTTCGCAAATTTTTTGTTCTTCCCTCGCCGGGATTCGAACTCATGCTACTGAGATATCGTGACACCAAATCGCCTGCACTGTATCCGACGCGCTAGACCACACGACAACCCAGGCTTCACTATATATATATATATACAACTCGTCTAAATATCATCCCAACAATGTTAGATCTGTAAATTTGCTTTCGCAAATTTTTTGTTCTTCCCTCGCCGGGATTCGAACTCATGCTACTGAGATATCGTGACACCAAATCGCCTGCACTGTATCCGACGCGCTAGACCACACGACCACCTAGGCTTCACAATAATAAAGCTTTTGGTGGCCGGGTGTTACTTTTCCTCGTCAGTTTTAATCTAGTGTCGTAATATAGTACATGATATATAAGGCATGAAGATGGAATTGTTACAGATCAGCTGTTATATCTATTGTAAAGGATCCTATAAATTAATGCAAGATACAGTCACAGAAATAATTATATTTATAAGTAGGTCTGTACAAGTGACAACTCTACAACAGATTTATCCATCGGATCACCAGCAGTGATGGTGATACATGGCTGTGTACATTATGTATATACAACTCGTCTAAACATCAGCCCAACAATGTTAGATCTGTAAATTTGCTTTCGCAATTTTTTTGTTCTTCCCTCGACGGGATTCGAACTCATGCTACTGAGATATCGTGACACCAAATCGCCTGCACTGTATCCGACGCGCTAGACCACACGACCACCTAGGCTTCACAATAATAAAGCTTTTTGTGGCCGGGTGTTATCTTTCCTGGTCAGCTTTAATCTAGCGTCGTAATACAGTACATGATATATAAAGCATGAAGATGGAATTGTTACAGATCAGCTGAAATATCTATTGTAAAGGATCCTACAAATTAATGCAAGATACAGTAACAGAAATAATTATATTTATAAGTACGTCTGTACAAGGGACAACTCTACAACAGATTTATCAATCGGATCACCAGCAGTGATGGTGATACATGGATGTGTACATTCTGTATATACAACTCGTCTAAACATCAGCCCAACAATGTTAGATCTGTAAATTTGCTTTCGCAAATTTTTTGTTCTTCCCTCGCCGGGATTCAAACTCATGCTACTGAGATATCGTGACACCAAATAGCCTGCACTGTATCCGACGCGCTAGACCACACGACCACCTAGGCTTAATAATAATAATAACAATAATAAAGCTTTCGGTGGCCGGATGACACATTCCTCGGATTGTATAAACTGGTGGGGAAATATAATACAAGCCCAAACGAAATATATATAAACAAGTCAAAATTGAAAACAACGTTCAAACCTATGATGAATTACCTATATGATATTTGATATCAGTGAACACTACCAAACATAAGCCATGCATACACGACAAAGATTTAGTTTGATGATCTTTTTCAAAGTGAAACTAAGATTGGATGTACGGTTGATAAAAAGATTTATGGCGTTCAGAATGATTATCATATCGTAGTAGAGGGGTTCAAATTCAACATATAAATTCCAGATATAAAATTTATTCCAGTTTCAAATCATTATGTATATATACTTGCTTAAAATTAGATGTGAATATATGTAATAAGTATGATACCCAGTTATACATCCCCACTTCATTTTACATCATAATCATACTGATGAAGGATATCTGTTATCCGAAATATTAATAGAAACTTAGTTTCCTTTTTTAAAATATTGGTGTTGTTTTGTACACTTTTTGTGCAGCCCAACAATGTTAGATCTGTAAATTTGCTTTCGCAAATTTTTTGTTCTTCCCTCGCCGGGATTCGAACTCATGCTACTGAGATATCGTGACACCAAATCGCCTGCACTGTATCCGACGCGCTAGACCACACGACCACCTACGCTTCTCCAATAATTAAGCTTTTGGTGGCCGGGTGTTACTTTTCCTCGTCAGTTTTAATCCAGTGTCGTTATACAGTACATGATATATAAGGCATGAAGATGGAATTGTTACAGATCAGCTGAAATATCTATTGTAAAGGATCCTACAAATTAATGCAAGATACAGTCACAGAAATAATTATATTTATAAGTACGTCTGTACAAGGGACAACTCTACAACAGATTTATCCATCGGACCACCAGCAGTGATGGTGATACATGGCTGTGAACATTATGTATATACAACTCGTCTAAACATCATCCCAACAATGTTAGATCTGTAAATTTGCTTTCGCAATTTTTTTGTTCTTCCCTCGCCGGGATTCGAACTCATGCTACTGAGATATCGTGACACCAAATCGCCTGCACTGTATCTGACCACACGACCACCTAGGCTTCACAATGATAAAGCTTTCGGTGGCCGGGTGTTACCTTTCCTCGTCAGTTTTATTCTAGCGTCGTAATACAGTACATGATATATAAGGCATGAAGATGGAATTGTTACAGATCAGCTGAAACATCTATTGTGAAGGATCCTACAAATTATTGCAAGATACAGTAACAGAAATAATTATATTTATAAGTACGTCTGTACCAGTGACAACTCTACAACTGATTTATCCATCGGATCACCAGCAGTGATGGTGATACATGGATGTGTACATTCTGTATATACAACTCGTCTAAACATCAGCCCAACAATGTTAGATCTGCAAATTTGCTTTCGCAAATTTTTTGTTCTTCCCTCGCCGGGATTCGAACTCATGCTACTGAGATATCGTGACACCAAATCGCCTGCACTGTATCCGACGCGCTAGACCACACGACCACCTAGGCTTAATAATAATAATAACAATAATAAAG